TCATTATTAGACTATATAAATGCAACAGATCTCTGTATACCGATTTTGTATTCTATTTTACTGAATTCACTTATTCTGTTTTTTTTGGTTTGTGTGGAGTCTTTAAAATTTTCTATATATATCATGTAACTGGCAAATAGTAACAGTTTTACTTCCTTTCCAATTTGTATGCCTTTTATTTATTTTCCTTACCTAATTGCTCTGGCTATGAATTCCAATACTATGTTGACATAACAGGTTACCTCTTCATAAAGAGTGTACCATTATTCCATATTCTCACCAACATTTCAAATCATCTTTGATTTTTGCCATCCTAAGAGTAAATATTCTCACTGTGGTTTTAATTTGCATTTCCCTGATTATTAATGAGGTTGGCCATCTTTTTTCTATGTTTTTACACCATATAAATATCCTTTTTATGAGTACTTGTTTCTCACCCATTCTTCAATTGAGTTCTTTTTTGGAAAAAATCTTTTTCTTCTCTGAAGATCGTCCTTTCATTTTTCAAACATTATGATGAAAAGAAGTCCTTAACTTAATGTATAATTTTAAAGATAGTAGTTTTTGTGCCTTTCTTACCCTAAAGAATAAAAATATTCTTCCTATTTTAGCACCTAAATGTTTTATAATATTGCCTTTTACTTTTAAGTCTTTGATCCACTGTCCACATTTTTATTTATGATATGAATAATCAAATCTTTTTTTCCATAAAAATAATCTATTGGCCTAAAACCATTTATTAAAAAAACTTCATCCTTCACCCAGCAATATTCTACATCATTCTGATATATATCAAGTGTACACATGTGGTTGGTCTATTTTGGGGCTATTGTTTTCTAATGGTTTGTCTATTAATGCACCAGTAATACCTTACTGTAGTATTAGTTTTAAAAAAGAATCTTGATATCTGATTGGGCAAGTCCTCCTACGTTTTTCCTCCTCAAGAGCATTTTGGCTATTTTTGGTCCTTTGCACTTCCATAATAATTTTATAAGTGCTGTAGTTTTCAGTTTGAAAACTAAATTGTGATTCCGATTGGGATTGCACTGATTTTACAAATTAATATGAGGAAATGTGACTTCTTTATGATATGTCTTCCAATCCACGAACAAGGTGTATTTTCCCCATTTAAATCTTTGCTATCTTTCAATAAAGTTTTACAATTTTCCCAATATAGGTCTTACATATCATTTATTTAATTTATTCTTAGGTATTCTTATAATGTATTAAAAAGTCTTTCAATTACACTTTCTGCTGTTACTGGTATATAGAAATACAAATAACTATTGAAACTGTCTTGTCATTTAAAGTTTAAGATAAGGAACCAAGGCTAGCATCATAAAAAAACCTTTTGTAAGCCTCCCAGGAATACCAGGAACACAAAAATAACTTCCCTTATTTCATAAACTCCTGTACCTCCACAATTGTAAAATGGTACAGCCACTTTAGAAAACACTTCAATAATTTCTTATGCTTAAACAAATACCTACATAGCAATTTCATTCGTAGGTTTTTATCTAAAAGACATTAAACATTTGTTCATAAAAAGACTTGCACACAAATGTTCATAGCATTATTCATAATAACCAAAAGTGCAAACAACCCAAACGATCAAGTGATGAAATAGATAAAATTAAATGCAGTACAAAATGGAATTAGCAACAAAAAGGAATGAAGTACTAATATATGTTACAACATGGGTGAACTTGAAAAACATTATGCTAAGTGTAATAAGTCACAAAAGACCATATACCGTATGGTTCCATGTACACAAAACATCTGGAATAAGTAGATTTGTAGAGACAGAATGTAGATTAGTGGTTGTCTAAGACTGAAGGAGGGCAGGGCAGGAGGGATATGGAAGTGGCTGGTAATGGACACAAGGTTTCTTTTGGGGATGATGGACATATTCTAAAATTAGATTACGTAATGACCGCAAAACTGCAAATCTGTTCAAATCCACTCTATTATATACTTTATATGGATAACTTTTACAATATGTAAATTATACCTCAATAAAGCTTTTTAAAAATGTAATAGCAGCCTTATTTATAATGGTCAAAAACTGAAAACAAACCAAATGTACATAAACAGGAGAATAAATAAATACATCATGATAAGTCACTCTGTGGAATACAATTTAGCAATGAAAAGGGAAAAACTACTAATATACACAACATGAATGAACCTTCAAACATTTTGCTGATGGAAAGAACCAGACCAAAGAATAACATACTGTAGGCTTTACTTTAAAGACACAAAACTAATCCATGATGATAGAAATCACAACAGTGGTTGCCTGTAGGGGGCGGAGAGGACATGAGGTGATGACTTGGATGTGGCAGAAGGAAACTTGACAGTGTGTGATGGAAATGTTCTTTACCTTGATAGAGATATAGGTCACATAATTATATGGATGTGTCAAACCTCATCCAACTGCACCTATGCATCATACTGTGTCCAAATTATACTTCAATTAAAACCCCAGCTTCCTACTGAACACTTATTTCCTAACTTGAACACATGATTTACAGTGTAAACCGACAAATATGAATGCTTTCATCAACAATTTCTTTCGTATTTCTAAAGGCTCCAAGTCACCTCCTAGAATAGCCTCCCAGCTTTACAATTTCAACATACCTTAACATACAGCCAACACACAAATCTCAAAATGTTCCATTTACATGTGCAATTTCTCTTTTGCCACACTTGGATGCTCTGAACTTATTCCAAGAGAAAATCTAAATAATGGTGTTCTTTAAATGGGCTATTATATTAAAGATGATATAATATGTGGGATAAGTCTACTTTATCCTCTTTCCTAGAGTAGACCCTCATGGATTCAAGTCTTGACTTAAAACAATTATTTATTAAGCTCTTACTATGCAATTAGTACTATGCTACACGTGGGCTACTGTCACAGGACTCACAATCTACTGAGAAGTACAAAAACAGATATAATAAGCATTATTTTTTGTATGTCAGGGATGGCAAATATCTGTAAAGCATGCAGCCACTTCCTTCCTCTTTTAAAAATGGGCAACGATTAATTGATAGTGGTACTTTTTCTTGCTTAGCAAAAAGTCTCAGGATTCTTAATGCAGAGTTCCACAAAGGCCCTAACAAGTGCTTGAACTTGCATAGAAAATAAAACTTATGTGCCCCTGTTATGTTTTGTAAAAATATACAGAAGCAGCAGACCAAAAAAGTCTAAAGAAAGTTTTAGTGCAAAGGCAGAACATTCATTCATTCATTAGCCAACATTCATCTCCATTACCTACTATGTGGTAGTAATTAGACTACCAGGGAAACCAAATCAACAAGATATGGTCCCATACCTCCAAGTATTCAAATTCTAGTGAAAAACAATAATAAACAGGGTGTTGAAGGCTATGAAGTAAGTATACACAGGGTATTATGGACATCTAAATAAGGGACGTTTCCAGGAAAAAGTGACTCTCTGGCCAAATTCTGAAGCATAGTTAATCAAATAAAAAAAGATAGAAATGACATCACCAAGATGGCAACACAGGTCATTCCCAACTTCAATCCTCCATCACAAGACATCAACTGAGACTTGGGAGAGAAATGAAGTCCTAAAGCTATATAAAGTCTTAAAGCAGACATGCTGAAAGCACAGTACAATAAAAAGGAAATAGGCTGTGGGAGCCAGATAGAACTGAGTTTGTTCCCCAGCTCCCTCCCTCACCCAGTGCTTTTTATTTTTAATATAAATTTTTAATTGGTAGTACATAGACATGACAGGAAATTCAGAAGTATATATTGTGAAAAGTAATTCTTTCTCCTATCCCTCCCTCTTCCGGTTACCACTCCTCCCTCACCCCTTGGCGACCTCTGGTACAACTTCTTGGGTACTCTCCCAGGGATAGTCTATTCAAGCATATTAAAGACTCAACCTTCTAGATTTCAAGACAGATGATGATCACTATAATTTTAAAGCTTCTGAATGGTACTAGAAGGACTGGAGTTGAGAAGGCCAGATAAAAGTGGGACTAAAGAGAAAGGAGTAGGTAGCTATGAGACACTCCATCCGGCATAATTAGCATTTAAAAAGACATCACATTAAAATTAAAAACAAACGAAATAACTTTAAGGATCCACTAATGCTCCTTACAAGGCATGATTAGTTGAAGTTTCTAAGAGGTATGAACAAGCACTTACTTTCTATTATAATTAGAGAGTTAGTTAGATGTTTTTGTATAGACAAATTTTATTTCCCTGACTTGTCCAGGGAATGCCTGAAACAAAAACAAAAATGGCCAAAAACTATATATGTATTCTAAAGAGAAACCAAGGAACATCTAACCATTTAATAAAATCAATTAAAGGAATTATGACAAGAATACATACATAACAGAATGAGACAAATTAATACCTAAAGAAGTAAAAAGAATTCTAACATTTCATTAGTATTATCTTCATTATTAAAAAATATCTTATAGTTGTCTCATTTCCCAATTCTAAAAAGTTTGTAGGGGCTTTATGAAGTCTATAAAAAAAAAAGTAACTGATAATACTAGAAAGTTATGTGTAAGCAGCACTACCCTCTAACAGTGAATGGTAAGAAAAGTACATGATCAGGTTTATTTTATCCATGGGTACAAACTCACAATTTCTGTAATTCTAAAATATCTTGAGAAATGGTTTTAGGATATTTTTAATAAAGATTAAAATACAGACTCTGAATGTTTCCCTAAAATTTTAATTTACATGTGGTAACCTTTTGGCTCACGTACACACACAAATCAGATGCTAAAGCCAAAAGATATTATATTTCATGTAAATAATCACATTTTTATTTTACCATAACGTATTTTATATCCTTATAATTGCCAGAAACATAATTGCATTCACTCATGAAACACCTACGAGTTGTCCTTTAAGTGGTATATCTCAAAAAAGACTTACTCCTAAACATTTAAATACTATTCTTAAAATCATCAAGTGTTTTCTAGAATGAAGATGGTTATAACACTTACCTCTGTCTTTTTACTAATGTGATCTGTAAATAAAACAAATGATGATATTTCATTGGAGGGAATTACCATAAAATATTTCAATATATAAACAATATTTAAACAAAGCAATTAAAAAGAATTTCAAAATTATAATAGTTTCAGAAGTCATTTGGGGTTTGCCTAGGATTCATCAGGTTTACTTTTCTAGGTATAAGATGTTAAAATTCAGTATATAACTATTAATTTATTCAGCTTAGGGACTAGGTCTTATATCCTAGTAAATGTCACCCATACCAAAGGGTATTATTAAATTTTAAACATCTGTATTCTGTATCATTTAAGTTTCTGGTTTCACATAATTTTCTGAGGGGGTGAACTTGAGGGGGTACAAATATGTTTAAAATCAAATCATAGGATATTATGACTGCAAAAACTATAAAGATCACTCCCTTGTGGAATAAAATGAAAAGTAGAATAATAATTCGTATCTTTTATTAGCTAGTTTTTTATTTTTAAAATACACATCATAGTGATTTGATAACACCATGGAAAAATACTAAAAACTGATTTGTATTTACAGAATGAAACAAAAAAGAAGACATAACAAATATATCTAGATTAAACAAATCACTGGTTTAGTAACAATAGCATTTATGAAAAGGGATTAAAGAATGAGGAAAAGGAAAAAATAAGGGAATCCACACAGATATAAGGTTGAGACTAATTTACAAATAGGAAACAAGTGTTTTCATTTAAATTGGAAATGATTGGAATATCTAATATTTAATAATGATTCTTCTGGACAGCAGAAATTTTCCATTCTCAAAGACTAATAATAGAATAGCTTTCTAATGACTGAGAATCTAAAAGCTGCCAGTTCTCTAAAGCATTCAGTGATCAGAATAGAATAAAGTCCATAAACACAGTAAATGTCAAAATCACAAGTTTCAGATCAAACTACCAAATCCTGGTAGCTTACACAAGTCATTCTTTTAGCATGTTCTACTTAGCATACAATATGATGCCAGAACCAAAGAATCACAACCGTGTTAATTATGCCTTGTAATAGTTGTGTAGTTTAACAGAATCATATGGATGTCTGAATCTAATAAAGTTATAAAATATTTATTAAATCTAACATATAAAAAGTAAATTAAGGAGTTTTTAAAAAGCATTCTTTTCGTGTTTCTTAGTTTTTAATGAAATATTTCTTATGTAAAATCTTTCTTACTGAAATTGGAAATTTTAACATACATCTGTTCTTTTAACCTCAAAACAAAGCAACTTAATTAGAAAGACAGACTATAAGAAAAACTTTCCTGATCCTTAAAGCAAAGCAATTATAATTCTCTAAATTTATTCCTAATTTCACAGGCTTGTTTCTGAAGACAGTAAAGTAGGGGGTTTTTTTGTTTGTTTGTTTTTTGAGATTATTGCTATGGTATTACTAATGCTCACAGAACAAATGCCCAATGTATTAAGGCTAAATTCATAAGACTTAAATAGGTTGTTCTGTCAATGAATAGCTGTTCATTTGGTCAGCAACTATTCTGACTGGTCTAAGCACAATGCTGTTCAAAAATATTTTGTGACTGTGCTGTCTAATATGGAAGTACGCTACTAATCACAGGTGGCTACTGAATACTTGAAATGTGGCTAATGTAACTAAGGAATTTCTAATTTTAGTTCATTTTAATTAATTTATATTTAAGTTGCCACACATAAATAGTGGCTACTATATAATACAGTACAGGTCTAGGGTTTTCACCATTTCCCACATCACAAATAATGTGCTTAGTGGTCCATCTTCAAAAGTTTGGTGGATCGTATAATTTCCTTCTGTCTTCTCTGTTGGATTTTAAAAAATACAAATGATATTATAGAGAGTCTTCTGGTAATAAATCTCATTCTAAAAATTTACATTTTAATTTTCTAAGATTAGTTTCAGAAAACTTGAAGTTGACCAGTAATGGATGAAACCTGAAGATACTATTCCTGGTCTATTATGTTTCATGATGACTTAAAAACTATAAATGTCATTTTTTATTTTCAGTGAATTTTAGAAAGGAAAAAATTTCAGAAATACAAAAATATAAATGTAGTTTTATGGGGTTTTAATGATTGATTTTAAATTACTTTAACTCCCATATTGTTTATTTCCAAACAGGTTTACAGTCTACATTCTAAGTAGCACATTAACCAAACAATTTTTATTTTAAAAATTAGAAAGTATATAAAGACTTAGAATAGTTCCTCTAATAAATTTCATACATATATTACCTTCAGATTGAAAATCTTTTAGTGATACTGTGAGAGGTTTGTCTTTTCCCTGATGATTCTTTCTTTTATCTTTTTTATTCATAACCTTTGACTGAGTTGAAGCATTTTCAGCATTTTCATACTCCTAAAAAGAATTATCGACAATCATTAAACTTAGTTTACACAAGTAAAGTCAACTCATCAACAGGTAATATGTGTATTAAAGTTTTATTTTTAAAGATAAAAAGGCAAATGAAAATAAAAATTTAGGCCAGCCAAACTGTATAAAAGGATGCCTGTTTATATATTCAATCTCTTTGCCTCTTAAACATTAAAATAAAAACAAAAAGCTATACCTTGGTCCATAACGCTTCCTACCTGCCACCTTCTTCTTCATTTCTGGACCAAACTTAATAATCTACAGTCAATTTGCTTTCTCACCCTTCCTTAAATCTAGCTTCTGGTGTTCTCTGATACGAAAATTAAGGCCAACTTCCTTTAAAATGCCAAATACAGGGCATTATTTTTTCAGAGATTTCTTGGTTTTTTCAATATATTTCTGATGACCCTTGAGTCAACTTCATTGGCTTCCCTTTTCCCAATTTTTTTTTTTTTAAATGTAGCTATTTTTCACCATTATCCCATTCTAACCTATTCTTCCAAAGCTTTATACCCACTGCTCTTCATACTCTAAGTTCAAAGTTCTACCTCTACAATGATTATCTTTGCATGTACAGATATCTCAACCGGAATGTTCAAGAAGTATCTCCAATTCTGTAGTAAGGACTGATCCTCCAATGAGTACCTTGTTTAATGCTGCTATCATCTACACAACTGTCTAGGCTAGAAACCTGAGTCATCCAAGCCCACTCTTCCTATACACTTTATATCTAAATTAGTCACTATGTCTTGCTGAGTTTATCTCTTAAAAGTCTCTTAAATCTATTCTCTTTTCTTCATACATTCTGTCATTTCCCCTATCTTTTTTTGCTTGGCACTGCAATACCCTCTAATTTTAGCCCCTTAATCCATCTTCGACATTGCTATCGCATGAGTTTCTAAAATAAAAACTTGAAACCAGTCTAAAAAATATATTCAATAGTTCTCTGCCAATTGATATATAAAACTCAATTTCCTTGGCCTGGTACACAGGGTCTTTATATCCTATTCTCCTGATGGTATCTCCAGCAACTCTAGGTTCCTAATTTATAGTTTTTCAAACATGCTACACTGTTTCGCATGTACATATCTTATATACTTGCCATTCCTTCCCTGAGAAAGCTGACTTTCTTTTTACCTATCCTATGAACTTCTAATACATCTGGTAAAATCTTCTTTTAAGAATCCTTTCCTAAAACTCATTCCCATCAGAAAATTCTTCTATCTTTCTGAATTTCCACTGCACATACATCTCTCAATACTATACACTATAATTATACGTAAGTCTCCCTCCACTAAACTCAAAGGCTGGAACCATGTCTTTACCTTTAGATTATGTGCCTAGCACATATTGGCTATTCAAAAAAATATCTGAATGAATGAGACAGAAAAGAAAATGCCATCACAAGCTTTAGTTATTATAAAAATCCTTAAGCTAAAATAATTATACTTTTTTAAATGAAATAATTAACTTAAAACTCAGTGACTACATCGAACGAGCCATCACATACAAAAGGAGTTTCTTTATTTTCTGAGAGTCATTACTGTCTGATAAAACCAATGCTCTGGGGTATTAAGCTTATGACTGTGCCAAGAAAACTAGCTAGAAGAATATTTTATCAACATCATCTACTCTACTCCTCCTCTGAAGATACAGCTAATCATTTTAGCTTTGGAATTTAGACATATCTAACAACAAATCATTACTATATAACAATATACAATTCGATAAATTTTATCTTCAAATTAACTAAGTCAGGAAGACTTTTCCAGTGTAACCTGAAGTCCATTAAATGATTAAGTCATAGTAAAGCTAGCTGTACCAATTTTTGTAATTGCCAGTTTTGTGTCTAAACAGCAACAACAGGATTACAATTACTCTTGATTTTTCAGTATAACAAGAACAGAGACAGAAAATGAAACTAATACACAGAGTATAAAAAGTCCACTTTACTACTTTCATCATCTTCCCTTTAGCTATGAATAAATTGCAAAAGCATCTAGTGTAAATTTTATTCCTCTCTTCCCTTCATCTTAAGTGAAGGAACTAGTGTACAATGATAGTCTAAAGGCCCTTAAGCACAACCACAGGCCATTTATTACGAACCACTATGTAATCACAAGTTGAATGAATTTTATGGACCAAATAAAAAATTCTCAATATATGTAAAGGACTAAAATGTTAAATAATATGAAGACAATATAAATGCTCAATTTAAATATAGAAACTGGAAACCAACACTACTTTTTACTTAAATGTTCCTACATTAACATGCTGTAGAATGCATTTCAGCACACAGCTCAATATCACATCTTAGTGACAAATGCTGAGTTCACAAGGCCAAATTGTCAGAAATGCCGTCTCATTTACTTTAGTTAATTGTAGTGTATCTCCAGCAGTCTCTTAATGGATACCCCTATACTTGTACTTACATTTTTTTAATGTACTTATTTTCTACATTCATCTAAAATAAACTTAAATAAATCATCTGCTGTTAATTTCCTCCCTTCCCTTCATGTTGGGTGGAGGAACTTTTTAACTAAACACTAAATCATTAGACAAAGCTTAGTCCACATGCTTCTGTTGTCTCTCAAAACCTGAAGTGAATCCAACTATAAAAACTTCAAGACAATATTTTGTTATAATAATGAATTTTTAGGACAAATTTTAATGGAGAACTTTTATACAAAATTCAAGAGGGTTGGTCCTAACTTTCGACCCTTAAACCTAATACAGTTAGATCAATAAATGCACAAATACCTTTTTGTGTTCTTCATATTCTAATTTACTTAGCAACAATGCCTTCTCAAGATCTGCTTCAAACATTTCAGATGTCAGCTAAAAAAAAAAAGTTGCACAATGATCAGATGATAGCATTATACCATGTGGGGTATTAATACCATTGTGGGGTATTAAGCAAAGTTTCACAATGAACAGATGATAGCATTAACATATACTTTTCCTGTATATATTGTCATAGTTAGCAAAATAACCATGACAATATATATAGGAAAAGAAAACGAATACATTAAAAAAAATCTGGGTTCCCCAAAGTTATCTATCCATGCCAAAGTAGAGAATCCTATATTTTACTGAAGATACCCAAACAAAAACTTTCAATTTTGAAATTTCTATTTCCTCTTTCACTGTCAATAATTCATTGTATATCACATAATCTTTTTATTTAATAAAATCTTACCAAAAAATTAACACTGTAATGGATGTCAAAGGCAGATCTAGTTTAGGACACAGACAATTCAATAGTGATTATTCAAAAATATAAGAATACTAAAAAGTAACTCCATAAGCATTATAAAACATACCATTTCCTTAACAGAGACTAATCCACAGGTACAGACCCTTTAAATAGGTGACCAAATATCCTAGTATATACCTGTTGTTACAGAATAATTATAGTGCATCCCTTTACTCCTATCCTTTCATGCCTTTTATATATTGCCCTATCTTTAAAGTCTTTAATACTATAGCCTAAAGTCTATAATACTATAATAAAATGATTCTTTGTGCTTTGTATCTTTTGGTTCCTCTTTCCCACCATGCAATCTCACTTTTTCTTACAATCTGGCTTCCACTACCTTCCAATCAAATGACCCTCCAAGAATTAATTTTCCTAGTTGCCAAACAGAATTGCTACAGTAGTTGGACAGGACTTTGGCTGGTCTAGCACTGGGGATAAAGTATATCTGCAGCTGAATAAAGGATAGTTGCAATATGACAAGAGCAAACATCCTGGATTCGTGTGCATGTATTTGTCATCCTATATGAACTGGATGATGAAAACATCAATTCCTTTGAATAACTATACTTCATTCCAATGTCCTATTATTCCATCAGGACAGCCAATCACATAACTCTATATACTGCACAGACATCCAAGCTATCATTACCAAAAAATGAGAAAAATGTTAACCAATATTTCCTTTGAAGCAGCTCATCTAAGACAACAAAAAGAGGGTAAAAAAAGATTAAGTTTATCACAGAAAAAAAATTACTCTCATAGAAAAATATTATTAGAATTAAGGGTACATCGCAAGAGAAAATCTAGTTAAGTCCAGAGTAAGTTGTACATACTTTTTCTATGTAATAACTGAAAAGAACTGAATAATTTATTTAATCCAAATTAGTAATAATCAGGAACAAGTAATAAATTCACCTTTTAAATAACTTATTATATAAATGAATATTCAAAAACAACATAGTTATACAATAAAAAATTAGATTTGTGTTAGTGTTACATGCAAAAGAAAACTGACGTAAATTTCTCCACCTACACTCAAAGCAAACTGAGTAAAAAATACTTCACTATAATTAAAGCATAGTAGTCATACCAACACAGAAAAAGTAACGAAACTATTTGTTTATTCTGAACAAAGCTAGTTTGATTTACCACTAAGCTTTTAATCAGTATTAATGACCTTTTATATTTATAAAAGGGGCATTTAAAATTATTTCCAATATGTCACATATTCTGACTGATATTCCAAAAACAAGTTAGTGGGGAAGTTGAGAGACTTGTAAAATGTCATTATTCTTTTTCATATTAACCCTCAGAATTTAGATATTATGTAATTGATTCTAATAGCATGATAAGAACTGAATGAAATGGAACTTTTAAAGTGAAAAATATAGCTCTCTCCAGCATGATTCTAAATGTAGAAGTTTAAAGCTTAAATTACCTTTTAATTATTAACATAAACTAGTAAACAAGAAAATACAAGTAGGCAAAAACTATTTAAATCTTTGAAAACTAGAAGAGATCCTCCAAAAATGTCAATGTATGATCAATCAGCCAATAAGGACTTACGGAGAATCTTGTACATGCTTTGTGTGTAGGGCTTTAAAGCAGGAGTATAAATTTGGCTTTTGCCTTCAGGAAATTTCTACTCCAGTTGGGGACAGAAGACTAACACATATGAAGAACAGAAAATAGAATACAATATTAAAAGTGCTACAAAAGTTTATGGAAAGAAGATAAACAACAAATAGAATTCATAGAAGCATATAGAAAAGAAACTAATTTAAGTTCGTCCTTAAAGGATAGATTTACGTAATTTAATAGGTAGAAAAAGAAATAGAAGAATTTCAGGAGGAAAGAGCCATGTGAACAAAGGTATATTAACAATAGATATACTATCAGATACCAAAGAAAGAGATACCCGATAAAAGGTGACTTCTATATACTAAATTTGGAAAAAACACAGGCTTTGGGAGATCAAATAGGTGGATAATTTTAATTCCTATTCCACCCATGCTAGCTGTGACCTTGGGCAAGTTATACAATTTGAGAATCTCAGTTTCTTCAAATGTAAAAAGGAAGTAGAAATACCAACCTTGCAAGGAAGGTAGTTTTGAAGATTTAAAACTATAATGTATGTAAAGTTAGACCTAGCACAGTGCCTGCGTGGCACAAGAGTTACACACAGTAGATTAGAATTCCCCTTCTTTGTGTTGGAGAATAGTAGAAAATAAGATTGCTTAGGTAGGACAGAATTAGGTTCAAGATCCTCCCTAAAATATTAGGGATTCAGAGCAGATGAAAGAATAATGATGATAAAAGTAATTTTAAATAGACTGGATATTAGAAGAATGAGAACTTAGAATCAATGTGTCTGGCTAACCCACTGTAATCTCAGCATATAGGAACCTGGACCAGAACACAGCACTACAGATAATAAAGTCCAGGTTTTGGAACTGACAGAATATGAAGTATAAAAGAAGAGTAAATCAAAGATTAGGATTTTTGACCCTAGTTAACAGGGAGAATGGTAGCACAAGACTAAATCATAAGAAAAATGAAAATGTGATTCCAAATTCTCTAAATGTTAAGAGAATTAATTATACTACTGTTGTAAATATAGGTATCAAGCTAATTAATCATAACATGTACAGGCAGAACTGAGGAGGGAAAAAAAAGGCTGGGCCTAAAAAACGGGCAGGCACCAGGCAAGAAAATGCAAATAAAACCATAATTTTTAAAAAATGTCTTATATTTAAGATTGCAAATTGAGAATTCCTAATCATGTTCTTTGTACTTATGGGAGGAGGAAGAAAGGAAGAAAAAGAGGAAATAATAGGCACTAAAATGCCTACAGAATTGAAGAAGATACTCACATTTACCCAAGATAGAGTACTTCAGATCCCCTTCCTCTTGGCTTCCCCTTCATTGCCTCCTACTTCCCCATCTAGCAGTAAAATATATTTTTTTCCTATTGAAACAAAACTATAGCTCAAGGATTTATGATCAGTTAAAGAGTATGAAGAACCAGTGAAAAATAAGGCCACTAAATATTTTGGAGCTAGATTTTTTAAAATTAATTTGTAAGCCTAAATACCATAACAATCTTACCAATTTTAAATCCAAGCAAAACAATTTCCAAATAAAGAGTTAATCTTCATTTCTCACAGGCATCATGGGAACAGGGTTATTGTAAATCAACACAGAACATCATTCTGAAAACATCTAACACTTGTAGACAACTGCTTAGCCACAATAGCAGTAGGTGTCCTATGGTACTCTAACCCAGAGATTTTCAAAGTGTGGACCATATATCTTTCACTAGTTTGGAAAGCAGAATTATCTTCCCAGAACTCTTCTAACAATCTTATTGAACATTATGATTTTAAAGGTTGTCAGTATTCTACAAAAATTATATCTATGTTACAATTATCAGGTTCAGTTCATCTCAGATAATGAATCTTCATGTCCTTTGAGTGCTGTTTACATCATCTAAGTCTGCATTTTTGTTGTAAGCTTTATTATATCTCCAAGAAATAAACATGGTTCAATGATTCATTGAAGGACTAGACATAGTAATGAAAATACAGCTGTAAATAATACAACCTATAAAGAGCATAAATTTAAAAATAAATAGGATTAATACAGTGAATATAGAATATAAAGCTGTATGTGTCATAAGAGCGATATCACATTAGCAGCTGAAAAGAAAATTACAAATAGAAAATTAAGATAGTGAATATTTACAATTTTGATTTATTGAGTTATCAATCTATTTGTTCTCAGCTATGAAACATGAGCAGACCAGTGGTCTGAAGACATAGTTTTTGTTTCACTTTCAAAGCACAATGACCTGTATGAGTCTTTCCAGAACAAGTACCAAGTAGTAATGCTTTCCAGAGCAAAAGTGATAAATGTTGTTGCTAAAGAGCAAGCCAAAAAAACACAAAGGGATTTATTTGAATCTGCACTCCTTTTAGGGAAACCAAGTGCAAGTCAAATTATTGTCAAGGGACTTATTATACCAAGTGACTTAATGAAAAATATCACCCTCACAAAAACAAAACCAAAAAAAAAAAAGAAAAAGAAACCAGAACAAACTATTGGCAAAACACCTTTATCAGATGACTGGAAAACATAAAGTGAAAGAACAATTACTACTGTGCACATGCTAGCAGATATTTCACGTTAGAGCTGGACAAAATCAGTGATGTACAGTTTGAATCAATACAATAAGATGAAAAAATACACAATAATATTTGACCCGTTTATCACTGAAAACCCATGTGAAAAGACTTTTCTATTAAGTTAATTATTTTGCCATGATGTAGACTTAAAAAAGGAACACTGGAATCAGTAATATCAGTGTATCATGAATAAAAGAGGTTAGACCTGAACTACATCTACACAGATATTTATTCCCAGGCAATAGGTATTAGTGAACAATATGTATCTTGATCTTGATACAGTAAGGAAACAGTAAAAATTATAAATATATTCGAATCAAAGCCATGGCCTATTCATCCTTTTTTAAATATTCAACTTTACTGAGATATAATTCACATATTTTATATACCACATAAAATTTACCCATTTCAACTGTGAAATATATACCTCCTTTTGATGTATACATCTCTGAAAAGAAATAGGGAATACAAAACTACTTTTCCACATTAAAGAATGCTGGGATATATCAAAATTTATGAAATGAAAAACTGAAATAAAAACATTTCTTTAAGGCACAAATGATGCAGTAAAGATCATCTCTACAATTTCCAGCAGCTTTGGTAGCATACCTTGCCAAAATATACACTATCCTGAATAGCCTGAACCAATCTTTTCAGGGACAATATATAATAATTTATAATGTTAAGGAAAAAATTAGAATTAAGATCAAATGTGGTTCAGTTTGTCCCGATTGGTCTTCATCTTTTAGTGGGTAATTCCAATTATTTACATTTATTTATAAGGTGAAAAGTTTGTCTAATGTCTTTTTTCATATTTTTTAAGCCTTACTTCAGAGGTTTCCTTGCAATTTCTTTTGCTTTATAACTTTTGCTATATGGGCCATGTTTTTTTTTTCTTCAAGTGATTTAAAACATAAAATGTAAACTCTTGTATATAAGTTTTCTTTAAATTTAAAAAGCACCCAGCTTGGAAGCTAAGCAGAGTCGGGCCTGGTTAGTACTTAAATGGGAGACAACTTAGGAAGGCCAGGTGCTGTAGGCATAAGAAACAAAAAATAAAAATTAAGGGATTATAAACTGACAAGGTCCTTGCAATCTGTGAGGTCAACCAACGGTTGCCTTGCCTAAAAAATAATTAAATGAATGAATGAATGAATGAATGAATTTAAAAAGCACACTTGGAACTACATTTTGCTATCAATATAAAAAAATTTAAAATACTTATTGACTCCTCTGAACTATTTCTAATTTTTATATTCATAAACAGGGATTTCATTTTAGACAAATTCAAGTAAGCTGTTTTATTTTTATTATTATTATTTTCTTTGGTGCAAACCAAGACCTTAAATTGCTCTTTTAATAAGGACTTTAGTCTCTGAAGTGACTGTATCCCATGAGAGGTTCTGCCCATATATATATATATAAACAGACACCTAAGTCTCCTAATCTCCATGACCTGTTTTTCATGACTGATAGTCCCTTTGAGTAAACACGGGACTAGAAATAAATCTGTATGGTTCTCTCATTTCCTGATTTTTATCTCTTGACTGTTGAAACCAAGATATCCTCTAAAATGTTCAGGAGACTGTATTCCATTTTTCCTCAGCACAGGTATTTATAGATTTAAAGCAACTTTATGAAAAAAAATTTTTCATGAATTCCTATTTCTTTAAAAAGATTTTTTAAAAATATAGTTGACATACAATATTATATTCGTTGTATTAGTTTCAGGTGTACGGCTATGTTCTCTTTAATAACCAAATTTACAATCGCTATTTAGAGTTAATTCTATATTGAACTAGCTTCAATGCTTACCCCCAGTGCTTTCCAACTGCTGCGCTCTTTATTTAGATTTGCCTTTTAATTGGCAGGTGCACACCTCCAAAATTCTGCAGACGGGATAATGGTGGTACGTCCACGCATGTCTGAGAATGTATTTCTTTGGGAGTCACACAAATGACATTTTGGCTAGATTCTTAATTCTAACATTTCAATTCTAGTAGTTAAAGTAGCCAGCCTGAGAGTAGCCAGCCTGATCTTTCATCATTACTAGACAACTGGTTTCCTCTCATGCATAATTTATAGTATTATTTCCTTGTTTCTCCTTCGTAAAATTAAAAACTTTTCAAAAGCTTTAAAAAGTCTTTTTAAAAAGTCTTCTGTTCTTTCAAGCTCAGATTCATGTATTTAGCTTGGGAAAATTTTTATTAACATTATCTTTAATGACTCCCTCTGTTCCACTTGTTTCGGGGACACTGATTATGTCTGTTGGATTTCAGTTCTGTGTTCCAATCTATCATGTCTATGTCACTTGCAAAATTTATCTCAAATTTTCCTTCATATAATTGACTTGTCTTAAGTGTATACTCTGTTCTTTAGTCCTTCTAATGAAGTTTTTAGTTCTGCTATGATTTGACTTCCCCAATTTTTTATTTCACCCATCTTCTTTTCAATTCATGTCTCTTAGCCACTTTTTCATCTCAGTCTACTATTTCACCTTATTATAAAACATTACTATTTCTTTGACTTTTACAAAATGTTCTAGACCCTTGGTTTTTATTAAAGCAAAAAACAACTGCCATCTAAAATCTACTTTTGTTCTCTGCAGCAAATCTTTTTCAAAGTGCCTTTACTTTGGACACTATGTACAATGTTCTTTTCCTTTTATGTTATAGAAGTTTTTCTTCAGTTGACATGAGATCAATTAAGAGCCACTGTTTGCTCATAAGTAGGTGGAGTAGACGGTTCTTTACTATCTGATTGTTTAATGCCAGCTCTCAGATTTTATGCTTAGTTGATATAAATTTACATTATCACTTTGGTAATTTAGGAATAGGAAACTTTTAGCATAATTCATCTTTTGTGTTTGAACTAAGCAGCCACATAACAGGCAAAATATCTATATCCAGCTTTTTGTCTGACTCAGCCTTCAATACCTGGAATTTCTCATAGTGGTGTTTTCTTACCGTGTGAGAAAAGAATACACACCATAATTGTATGCTTTTTTTTTTTTGCCCTATTTAAAATGTTACTCCACACAGTAAAACAGATTCCAGGTGGTGTACTATCCACCTGTTCTATATAGGGTCAGGGCCAAGTCAACTATTTCCATTTCCATAATTGCCAGGTCGTTTTAGAAGCAATCAGTGGGGGCAGGAGGAAGGGCAATCAAACACCTTTGCTCGAGTTCCCATATTACATGGAATTTATTTTGCTGCAAAATTGAGTTTTCCTTCTTTAATTTTCCAATGCCTTTTGGGCTACTCAGAGAAATCTGTCTGGTGAAGACACTGGTAAATTCTATTACTGTCCAAACAAGTAGATCATTATATTTGTAAACCATAAAAGTGATGTGGAAGAGGAAAAAAGAATCAAACAAAACCTCTAGAAAAATACAAAATGATTTTATCCAGTATACCAGGGCCTGGAAACATCTTTTAAATAGCATTTTTGTCAGCTCTAGTGTAATAACTGAAGCTCATAATGATGAGCCTGAGGCACCACAAAATCCAAGAGACAATGTTATAATTAACAGTTTATGTTAAGAGTATAGTTTAGTATAGCCTACTTCTTTTAAAACTGGTAACCCAAGATGGTTGCCAGATGGAAGAGAGGTGAGATGCTAGGTGAAAAAGGTAAAGAGATTAAGTAGTACAAATTGGTAGTTACAAAACAGCCACAGGAATATAAAGTACAGCACGTGGAATATAGTCAATAATATTGTAATAACTATGTATGGGTACTAATATAATACTGAATGTCAACTATAATTGAAAAATAAAAAATAATTTAAAAAATTAAAAATAAATAAAAACCTGGTAACCCAAGCATGGTAAGTATAGTCACACTATTAAGCCAAACATTTGCTAGAGTAATACTTATTGCCAATAGATCAAATGACAGTTTAACAGATAAACAGATAACTCTTCATTGCCTATCTATACATCATCTTCCAGAGCAAGGGTCCCCAAACCCCGGGCCACAGACCAGTACCAGTCACTAGCCTGTTAGGAACCGAGCTGCATGGCAGGAGGTGAATACTAGGCAAGCAAGCGAAGCTTCATCTGTATTTGCAGCCGCTCCCCAGCACTAACATCACTGCCTTAGCTCCACTTCAGACTATCAGGCATTAGATTCTCATAGGAGCACCGGTCTCTGGTGTCAAAAAGGTTGGGGACCACTGTCTTAGAGTACATTCCAGGCTTATTATTTTCTTGGACATCAAACACAAAAAACAAATTGTCCTTAATAAGTTATCCATGTAATTTGGTTATTAATTAAATTTATTTAATAGAGGCATAAAAAAAACAAAATATGTATAGGTTAAAGAAACAAACAAATGCCATGAACCATTTTATATCAAGGCCAAAAAGGAAAAATTTCCCCTCAAAGGCTTTCTTTTTAAACAAAATCATCACCAGGTATTTTTAACAAGACCTCTGGACCTATAAATGTAATTTTTTTACTTAAAATAATTTAATCCTGTCATTCTATCTTCCCTCATTTGTAAAAGAGCAGATGAATTAAAAACTCACAAAATAATTGCTTTGAAGTGTCAAAACTAATAAAATTAATAAATGTATCAATCTGTTTTTCCAGTAGATAAAAAACAGAACCTCTTATTAAAAGCAGCAAATACATATGAATTAATGTGATAAAAAAACAACTTCTCAACAGTGGTATCATAGATTCAGATGCACTGCTCTTAAAAATGTATACATTCACTGAAAAACAAGGTAAAAGAATTTCCTTTACTTAACTGTACCTGCTCATCTCTTTGTCTCCACTCTTGCCAATTTTCTTCTCGTGAATCCTTTTGTACTGGGTTTTGTAATGAAAGCTCATGTTGAGCATTACAAATGGCATGGGAGGATTTCTGAGGAATTTTCTTAAAAGCAAGATTTCGGAGCTATGAAACAAAGAATATATTAAATGCGGTTTATCGATACTGAAATACTGTTTTTTGGAAGTTTATAAATCAACAATACTTTGACACTTCTCTATACTATTCCAAAGTCACTATTTGTGTTGTAGAATATTAATTTCTCTAGTATGTGAGATAATGTTGGTGGATTTCCAGATGAAATGATTAATAAGTGAAAATGGACTGAATTATACCATCATTTTAATGATTCTCCTTTACTAAAGGGAAGAAGTTTATAGGAGTAGAAAACAGGGTAACAAGTGTGCTCATAAAATGCAAAACAATAGGGTTCAAAAAGATTAAAGCTTAATAGCTTACAAATTTAAAAGTTAAAATAGTGAAGGAAGATAGCTTATGCAATTCTAGCAACTACTTTGCTAGTCCTGAAAAATACAGGGGCTACTCCACAAAGTAACATAATGAACTAAAACTGTACTGCCCAAACCACTTCCCAATGAAAATAACCTGAGATACAGAAATTGAAATGAGAAAAAAATATTGAGAAGTTGTTATGGATTGAACTGTATTCCCCCAAAAGATATGCTGTAGCCCTAACCCTCGGTGTCTGTGAATATGACCTTATTGAAAAGTAGAGATTTTACAGATGTAATCAAGTTAAGATACAGTCATAGGGTGGGCCCTAATTCAATATGACTGATGTCCTTATAAGAAGCGGTGAAGACTAAGATGCACACAGAGAATGCCACGTAATAACAGAGGCAAAGATTGGAGTGATACAGCTGCAAGCCAAAGATTGATGGCCGCCAGAAGCAGCTATAAAGAGGCAAGGAAGGGTTCTACTCAGTCTTGGGGAGAACATGGCCCTTGGTGATAACTTGGTTTGGACTTCTAGACTCTAGAACCATTAGAGAATAAATTTCTGTTGTTTTAAGCCATCTAGTTTGTGGTACTTTGCTATGACAGCTTTAGGAAAGTCACTTTTTAAAGTCACTCTCTGTGTGGAAGCATTTTAAAGAGATATTTAGAAAGCAATGGTAATGAAAATGTAATAGAAATAAAGAATAAAAAGGTTTTTTCTAAGTCTTGGGACATTATAAAATGAATATAGGGGAAAAAATACTTTTACTACTTCTCTCATTAAATGATACTGAAAAAGGTCCTTACATATACCTGAATGCTACTTCTATTAAAATACAAACAAACACAGGCTGGAGTTGTTTTTCAGCATTTCTTTTAAAAACGAATGGACACATTCAATGTTGGTCATGTAACTCATCCTAAGAATGTCTAGGGGAGAGGGACCTGCCATGCACTTATTACCCTAAAGAAAGAGATAATCATCAAAACCATAAAAATGTATATTCAGGCTAGTCATAGGACTATTATCTATAATATTAATTAAAAAAAGGGTGGAGAGAAACAACCTAAATGTTTATCACAAGGGTTCAATTAAAGTATGAGATAGCCATGAAATTAAATAATGTAGAGTCATTTAAAATAATGCAGCTCTTAGTCTACTTATATGGAAAACTGCTCATGGCTAATTAGAAAAAAAAGCCAGAATAAAAGTCTATTATATAATCCCATTTTTATTTAAATAAAATATGAATATAAATGTATATGTATATACTCATATCTATATATTCATATAAACATATATATACAGAAGACACATACTAAATTATTAATTGGTTATATCTCTAGTTACATTTATAAATGGCCTTGGTTTCCTTACTTTTTAAAATAAGCATGTAAGCTTCTATAGTCAGAAAAAATAAAAGCATTTTTTAAATGTTCATTTCATTTGACTTTAAATACACATGAATTTACATCCATTCATTTAAGTCATATTTATCAAGTACCTATGGACCAGGTACTATGGATCTATGGATACACGGATCAGTAAGATAGTACCTGTCTTCATGATACTTACTTGGTTTATTGGGAAAGCAAATAAATAATTAAAACTTTTACCTCATTTGCTTCACTCTGTTGCTGTTCCTTCTTTTTCCTTCTTTTCTCTCTCTTTTTCTCATTTGTAGTTGTTTTGCTTGTTTGAGACTTTCCAGTATTCCGACCTTTGCCTTTTCCAGGCTCAGAATCAGAACCACTGCCACTATCCACTTGCAACAGAGCAAAACGAGAAGCAGTAGTGGGAACAGAACTAAGAACTGCTGAGGCCATTGCAAGGATTTTTCTTTTAAAATACTTCTGTCAAGAATAATTCCTGCATAGGAAGAAGGGGAGACAGATGAGTAAACATTCTCAGTATAATTTGTTCAAGATTCTAGAACAATAATATATATTATTATATATACAAAGATACATATACATTTCTCCTGATGCTGAATTTAGTGATATTTGGGTTCCCAAAGTCCTACACTTTTTAACTTATGTAAACAACAAAATTATATCAGAAAATAGAAAAATGAAATATTGAGATTTCACAGACTAGTGCAAGGTTACCATCAATATATTTATTTTTCCATATACAAGTTTTAATAACTCATGATTTTCCTCTCTTAAATATACTGCTATAATATACACATATTTATGGAGAACATCCTAAATCAATATGGTTTATAACAGAAAAGTATCCGTTTATTCCCAATTTCTAAGACAGGAAAAAAAAGGAGTAGAAAAGGAAGAACAGTCTTATATACAAAATGCTACCTTAAGTTTAATCTTAGAGACTGAAATAGGTCACAGAATTGACAGCAAAATAGAGAGCTCAAATTCCTTTAACCAAAGAAAACTTTTCAAAATCATATTCCACATTATCTTTTAGTTTACTAGCCTCAGTGCACCCTACCATTCCAAGCAGAAGTGGTAGTGGTTTCATTTAGTGTTTTTTCAGCTTTTTAAGAATCTCTTAGATTTAGGATATTGAAGGTCCTCTAGTAATTTCTAACTCAAATTGTTTAGCTTAACAGATGAAGCAACTGGTGCTTAGACTGGTTAAATGATCTGCCTACATCTATTCTGCAAGTTAATGGCAAAGTCAGGACCTGAATCTAGATATGCTGAACCTTACTCTGCAAGTTCAAAGCCTTGTAACTATCAGAAGACTAAGTACTCCTTCAATTCAAAAGGAAAATATTTTAAGAGATTGTGAAACTCAGAAATTTATTTCTATTTTAAAATGTATTAGGTACACAAATGAGTAAAATATTAAGTTTAAAAAAATAAATGAACACTCCAACTACTCAGCACTAAGATTAATAAAATGTTAACCCAGCCTGTGCCTCTCCCCAAAAGCATCACCCCCACTCCCTCTGTCCAGAGATAACTATTATCCTTATTTTTGTATTACTTCTTTGTTTTTCTTTATAGTTTTACCATGTCTGTCTCAAGTCACAGTGCTCATATCTGAATAAGCTATAGTGTCAATTTTACAATATCCTATTGTTTACACAGGTCCACCCAATTCAGTGTGGGAGGGAACTATGCAAAAGTGTGAATACTAGGCAGTGGGGACCATTAAGGTCCATTCTGAAAGCTAACTACACACTATAGTTTGTATGTTTTCAGGAGGGAACAAAAATGAGAAGCATGTGTTCAATCTTCCCTCTTAACCTTAAAATCCAGAAAATTATTTGGGTATCTTTCAAGTTTTTGTTAAACAATGAAGGCAAATCAAAACAAGAGCTGATATCTGAAGATATCATCTAGTAGTTATCAAAGTATTTTTATTATAATATCACGTTAAAATCTATTGCTCTTATGCTCAGAAATATGGAAATCAAGATAAAATACCATGACGTAGAGATGACATCACACTAATAAATTATGACATATTTTTAGGCTTAAATTTTTCCTGCAAGAGTTGAGGCTTTTCCTGCAAGAGTTGAGGCTTTGTAAGTTATTACAAGGAAAAAAGTATTACAAAATGAAAAAGAATTTCCAGACTAAAAATATTATCTGAACATTAATTCAGCTTAATTTCCAACATGTCATTTTAAAATCTTCTAAGTTTTAGTTGCTTTGAACACTTTAGGTACAATAATCTAACAAAGTTGTTCAACGACTATTATTATATTTGATTTTAACTGTTGGGACTATAAATTGCATGTGGTAGCTGTTCACGAATATTCGCTGCCCCTCCCTGAAGGAGAATTATATATTACTCTCCT